CCATCCCCCCTTCCCCTACCCCCCACCCCCATCAGCTCTCAGTTTGTTCTCGGCATTCAAGAGTCTCTCATGGTTTGCCTCTCTCCCTTTCCCCCACCATTTCCCCCCTTCTTCTCCCCCTTGTTCCTCCGTTAAGTTCCTCCTAATCCTCCTATACGTGCAAACATATGATATATGTCCTTCTCTGCCTGACTTATTTCGCTCAGCATAACACCCTCAAGGTCCACCCATGTTGCTACACAGGCCAGATTTCGTTCTTTCTCATTGCCATGGAGTATTCCATCGTACAGATAAACCACATCTTCTTCATCCATTCGTCCGTTGATGGAGACTTAGGCTCTTTCCATGTTTTAGCTATTGTGGAGAGTGCTGCTATGAACATTGGGGTACATGTGCCCCTGTGCATCAGCACTCCTGGATCCCTTGGGTAAATTCCTAGCAGTGCTATTGCTGGGTCCTAGGGGAGTTCTATTGTTAGTTTCCTGAGGAACCTCCACACTGTTTTCCAGAGGGGCTGCACCAGTTTACATTCCCACCAGCAGTGTAGGAGGGGGCCCGTGTCTCCACATCCTCACCAGCATCTAGAGTTCTCTGATTTGCTCATTTTAGCCACTCTGACTGGCGTGAGGTGGTATCTCAGTGTGGTTTTGATTTGTATTTCCCTGATGAGGAGGGATGCTGAGCATCGTTTCAGGTGTCTGTTGGCCATCTGGATGTCCTCTTTGGAGAAGTGTCTGTTCATGTCTTCTGCCCATTTCTTCACTGGATTGTTCGTTTTTTGGGTGTGGAGTTTGGTAAGTTCCTTATAGATTCTGGATATTAACCCTTTATCTGATATGTCACTTGCAAATATCTTTTCCCATTCCGTCGGTTGCCTACTAGTTTTATGGATTGTTTCCTTTGTGGTGCAGAAGCTTTTTATCTTGATGAGGTCCCAATAGTTCATTTTTGCTCTTGATTCCCTTGCCTTGGGGATTTGTCAAGTAAGAAATTGCTGTGGTTGGGGTCAAGGAGGTTGTTTCCTGCTTTCTCCTCTAGGGTTTTGATGATTTCCTGTCTCACGTTCAGGTCATTAATCCATTTTGAGTTTATTTTAGTGTATGGTGTGAAAAAATGATCTAGTTTCATTCTTCTGCATGTTGCTGTCCAGTTTTCCCAGCACCATCTGTTAAAGAGGCTGTCTTTTTTCCATTGGATACTCTTTTCCGCTTTGTCAAAGATTAGTTGGCTGTACATTTGTGGGTCCAATTCTGGGTTCTCTCTTCTATTCCATTGGTCAATGTGTCTGTTTTTGTGCCAATACCATACTGTCTTGAGGATGACAGCTTTGTAGTAGAGGCTAAGGTCTGGATTGGTGATACCTCCCCTTTTGGTTTTCTTCTTCAATATTACTTTGGCTATTCGGGCTCTTTTGTGGTTCTAGTTTCTATAAGTTTACTTAGGAAGGGGTGTGTGGTTTATTTGTTTGCATTTGGTTCTTCCCACGTGTTGCTTGCTTACCTTGTATGTGGAGGTTTGTGTCTTCCAGCAAATTTGAAAGGTTTTCAGCCATGATTTCCTCAGGCAGGTTCACAGCCTCCCCTCTGCCCTTTCCCTGCAGACCTGGGTGATGTGACTCCAGGCCCCGTGCGATTCCCGCGCTCCAGGGGCCTCCCCGTGTTTCCGGTCTCTTCCGTCCCTGCCGTCCCGGCTGGGTAAACCCCGTCGGTCTCCTCTCAGGCCCACTGGTTATTTCTGCTGTATCTTCACTCTGTTGCTGGGCCCGTCCCAACAGGCTCCGCCGACTGGACCTTTCCCTTCGATGATTCCCATTTCATTGTCTTTTTACAACTTCAGTTTCTTGGTTGTGATCTTCTTTCACTTGTTTCAAGGCAATTTGTAATGAATTATTGAAGAATTTTTAGGACAGCTGCTTTAAAACCCTTGTTGGATAATCCAGGCATCAGATTCAGGTCAGTGTTAGTAACGGCTGAGTGTCTGTTTTCACTCTGGTTGTGGCCGTCATGTGATCCTCCGGTCTACACCAGACACCTTGGTCCCACTGCAGCCTCCCTGCTTGGGTGTAGCACGTGGGTCCTGGCCTCCTTTTGCGGTGCTGTCTGGTGGGCTTGCTGTGGTTGCTGTGGCTGGGTGCCCACTGGCCCTGATGCCACTGCCTGAGAGCGAGGAGCCCGGCCCTGTTCTCACTGGTAAGAGGAGCCTGGGGTCTAGGAGGACAGAGAGACTTGCATGCTGGGCACCTGCCATGGAGGAATTCCTACCAGTGACCCTGGATGATTCTGGGTCTCTGAGCGGGAGATGGGGCTCCAGTCCAAACTCAACATGGAGGGATGTGAAGACAGAGGAGATTGTAGGATGGGAAGCAGAGGGAGACTGTGCTCCACAGACAAACAAATTGGGGGAAGATGGGGTGGACGGCTGTGCTGTGTCCACCACCGCCGCTGGGACCCCCGGAGATTAATAGGGTGGCAGTTGCCGGGAAGGTGGATGTGTGACTCTGCACTATTCTCTCCGTATCCTCTGTGGCTGCTTATTAACCAGAAACCATGCACGTAGGCGGGTAACATTTTAATGTGTCTGCATGTTTCCTTTAATGTAAATTTCACAAGAAACTGAAGTCAAATCAAGTCATATTGTTGTAGTATTTTCTTCACTTTTCAAGGGAGTGAACTGCCCAGAGGTGCTGAGGACATATTTGACGAAGGAACTTCATGAGCCACTGGGAGGAAACAGGGAAATCCCACAGGACTGCACAGAGTCCCTGCCCCGTGTTACCAGCAGGTCGTGTCTGCGGGGTGGGGGGAGGGCGTCCCGCGCTCTGGGACACGTGGGGTGACACAGCCCTATAGCACGAGCTAGGCCTGAGGCCCGGCTGTCCTCCCGCATGGAAAGTGCGAGCCGTTCCCGGCAGGTGCTCTGACCCTCCAGCAGATCCGCGGGCCCCTGGTTTTGTGGGGGGCACATGGGAGGGCGGGGAGAGAAGCTGCCCCCGGTGTGGGACCCGCCGGGACCGTAGGACACCACAGTGCACTTTGCCTTGGGGAGAAGACATCTCAGTTTTCCAGGAAAAGCTAAACATCAGTGACTGGTTTTTAGAGCAGTGTGATTTATGGAAAAACCTAGCAGAAAATACAGAGTCCTTACGCGCGATCATCTCCCCCCGACCATCATCCCCTATTATCGATGCCTCTTGTCCGTGGCTGTGGTTCCTGAACAGATGTGACTATGTGACTATTAGTTACAATTCCATCAGGGTCACTGTGTTCCATGAGCTTGGACAAATATGGAATGACACATACCCACCAGTAAAGTGCAGAGTGTTTTCACTGCCCTGAAAATCCTGTGTCCTGCCTGTCTGTTGTTCCTTCCTCCTGGACTGTGGCAAACACCCAACATTTTAAGGTCTCCACAGCTGTGCACTTTCCAGAGCGTCACAGAGGCGGAGGCCTATGCTGTGGAGCCTTTCACACTGGCTTCTCTCACTTAGTGAGATGCATCTAAGTTTTCCCCATGTCTTTCTGTGGTTGACAGCTCCCTTCTTCTTATCACTGAAGACAATTGCACGGTCTGGGTGGACCCCTGCTCATTTATTCATTCACCTGCTGAAGGACGTGCACCCCGCCTAGTCAACTCTTTTGGGGCAAGAACACCAAGGTCAAGACAGTTGTGCATTTTTAAGGGAAAGAGACGGTGGGGTCCGTGCATTTTTACCTTTGCGAGCCCAAGTCTTCCAACTGTGCGGAAAAATCCGAAACAGAAAGGACATATTTATAAGCTGCTCTCAGCTCGAGTAAGAAGTGCTTATTTGACTTGCTGGCTTGGGCAACAGGACTCCCAGCAAATACCGCAGGGCTTTGGTGAGAGTGCCCGTGGCCGGGGGAGGGGGCCAGAAGGCCCCACAGTGCGGGGAGCTGGGGTCTGCATCCCGGAAACGCAGAAAATCCAGGGAAATTTGCATCACTCAAGGTACTACTTCCTACTTCTCTTCAGCTCTTGCCTGTTTACATATTAAATTCACACTCTCACAAGGAAGTTTAAGCTTTATCTTGGAAGCTGTCAGGCTGAACCCTGGCCTCCTTTGTACACACAGCGGAAACACCACTCCTGCGATTCTGCTGGGTGTAATTACACAGGCGCGTCAGAATCAGCCGCTCCTGATGCAAAGGTCTCGTCACAGCTCCGTTTCGGCGGTGCGGTTTGGGGGCAAACACTGTTACTTTAAAAACCCTCATAATTTGAACCTAAGCAGAACTAACAATTCTTCCACTTTCCCCATCACTTGTAGACATTGCATCATGTTTAGGGCCAAATAAAGTGAACGGAAATTCACTCCTCAGAAGAGCCGGGGCTGCCCTACAAACAGAAACATGGGCGGGCGTTTAGGAAGGTGCGTCCACACGCACCTGCGGGCGGGCGGTCGCTCATCCGTCCCCCAGAGCGCTGGCCTCTGCGTGGACACCGTGCGAAACGCACTTGCGGCAATTCCCAGCCACACTTGGAAAGTTTGACAGACGGCGTCCCTTCCCGTTTAATTTTTTTTCCCAATTTTTTTTCTCCCTGAAACTCCAGCTCCAGGCCCTTGACCCCCCAGTTCGTTACCTTTTTTTGTTAATAGATCTAATCAGCGGCGTGTTAAACAAGAGAGCCCCGTCTGGGCGCCGCCTGGGGACAAGCGGTGGGCCGCTGCAGATCGCGGAATAAACAGCTCGGCCCTTTCGATTACAACACTGGGCCTGGCCTTTATCTGGCTGTGACATCATTTCAATCAAAATGTAAAATAATACAACCCGATAGTTGGGAGAGGTACGGATAGGACACAGGCGGCTGCACTCAGTCATTTAATAAAGAGAAGAGGGAGGTGGGGCGGCCTCCTTCTGACAGCCTCCGGTTCCCAAACTCCATCACCTGCTCTAATAGTATTCACGAGAAGCCAGTGCGGGAAATTGTCTATTACTTTTTATTAGGGGAAGCTGTTATGTAGGATACAGCCTGCTGCACCGTTTTTTTTTCTTTTTCTTTTTTTTGCTTTGTTCGTTTAATTAACAAAAGCATGAAATCGCCCTATTGGAGGCTTCTATTGCTTTTCCCCCTCCGAGCAGGGATTTTATTCATTTCCTTTGTCTCCTTTGAATTTCTTTTTTAACAGTGATGGTTTTCAAGACTCACAAATCAGTGTGAGAGGAAAAACATAATTCAAGGGCAAGTACATATTCTCGGCACTGCTTGGGCGTCCGGGAGGACCAGCGCGGTGCCACCTTCTCCACGGCGCTTTCGTGCCCAAGTTTCCCGCCCACTTCTGAGCCTCCCGTGGTGAGAGTCCCCTGCTCCACGTGGGGTTGATCCAAAACACTGCCAGCTCCGTCCGTCGGGGCTGAAACCCAGAAAGAGAAAAGGAAGTCACATCTTTTTCAGAAGCGAAGGGGAGTCTGGGTGGCTCAGTCCGTTAATCGTCCAACTTTGGCTCAGGTCATGATCTCGCAGTTCGTGGGTTCAAGCCCCACGTCGGGCTCTGCAATGACAGCTCAGACAGAGCCTGGAGCCTCGCTTTGGATTCTGTGTCTCCCTCTCTCTCTGCCCCTTCCCAACTTGCTCTCTGCATCTTTCTCAAAATAAATAATCATCAACTTAAAAAAAAAGAAAGAAAGAGGGAGCAAAGTTCATCCTAAATCGACTTCCCGGAAGCCTGGCTGTTTGGATGCGGACAATGGCTCTTGAACAGCCCATTTCAGTTAATCAATGAGTTCATTGCTTTTCCTTGAACTGTGTTTAGTTTATAGCAATCAATCATTTTTAAAGGGACATAATCATTATCCTTCAATGTTTTGATCATTCTGTGCACCGAGCAGATCCACTGCAGACACCTGACTTGATGAGCTCCGCGAGGAGGGGGCGGAAGGCAGAGTCCTTTACAAGCTGGCCCGCGGGCACTGACGTGCTTTCTGCAGGGGTGTTTGCACGGCGGTGGCGCTCCAGCCTTGGGCCCAGTGGTTCGGATTTCCTCCGCAGAAGAGGCGAGAACGACCCCTGCCCCGGCCTCCTAAAGAGTACAGTGTCTTTGGAAAGGTGACACCTTCACAGAGCAAGTTAAATAGCAGCAAGTCCCCTGTGATGCAGGAGCAGAGCAAGACTGTGAAGCTGTCGCAAAGTCAAGTCTGCGCGGACCAGGAGGTTAAGCGGGTGTCCTACTCTTGCCTCTGATTTTCAGCCAAAGCTCCACATGAGGACAGCAGGCCCTCGTTCTAGAAAGGGCTTAGGCCCTGACCGTTTCCGTTGTCCTACCCACCACATGAGGGGCAGAAGCTTGGGGGCGCTCGGAGGGAGGGGGCCTGGGGGTCACTGTGCTGCCCAGGGCAGCCGACACCCCCCTGAGACAGTTCTTAGGAGGACCCCAGGAGCGACCGGAGGCTTTGGGGTGGACTTGAACATGGACCCTTCGCAGAAAACGCTGGAAGGGGGGCTGGGCCTGGAAGCCCACAGCAGCACATGACGTTGGAAGGCGCAGCGGCGGGGGCAGGGGTAGGGGTGGGGGTTTTCTGACCCTGGGCGGGACCAGGCTGCAGGGCCTCCCAATGGCAAAGGGAAGTAGCAGATGGTGGTGGGCTTGCGCCGACCGGAAGGGCCGCCCCTTCCTCCTGGGGAGGTGGGCGGGGGCGCTGTGTCCCTGAGAACCCGGCCTCATCCGTGTCCCTCTACAGGGTGACCTAGAAGCTCCCCCAGCAGCGCTGGCATCTCCCCCCTCGGGAACCCGGCTGCCTTGCTGCTCCTCTGTCTTTGGGCCACCATGTGGCACAGCTGATGCTTCTCAGGTGGCTCTGAGCCCGGACCCCTGGGGGTCGTGGGGCCCTGAGAACATCACGGAACAAGCCTGGTGAGCCGGTGGGCAGGGCAGGCACGTGGCCCAGTCTTACCTGCCCCATGCTGACAGCCGGCTGACCCCCAGGGGGCTGAGACCGCCAGCCCGGCAGCCAAGGCCCACCCGCTGCTGACGGCAGACACGGGCGTGTGTGCAGCTGAGAGCAGTGGCCCTGGCACCCATTCGTCGGCCGCCCCCCGGCTGAGCTTCGGGTTACAGGCAGCTCCTTTGAGGCAGGTACATCCCCGGGGTGTGGACCCCCGGGTGTGGCCCCCCTGGGTGTGGCTCAGGACTCCGGGGACATCTCCACGCCGGTCAGTGCAGCCCTGAGGGCACCTGCTGCTGAAGACTGGCTGCTAGCTCACGTTCAGGGAAGGGGGTTCCAGGGTCCCAGCTGACCCTCTCCAGAGCCCGGGCCTCGGAGGGGCAGCTGTGGGGGCTCCTGGAGGGAGAGCAGCAAAGATCCCCCCCTCACTTCCCTGCCGCAGGGTCAGGCCTGAGGGTGGGGTCAGAGCTGTGCATGTCAGGTTCTGGCTGAATGGGCGGGTATCTCAGTGTCTGAAGACAAGTGGCCGCTGTCAGGGGGACCAACCGGGAAGCCCAGGGCTGGACCTCGTGTCGAGGGAGCCTGAGGCCCGGGTGGGGGTGGAGGGCGTGCTGGGGGGGCTGCATGCTCTGCTGCCCCCACAAACAGTTCTGTGGACCACAGTGGAGGGGGAGGGGGGACAGCGAGGTTCCAGACACAAGTTTGGCCTTGGTTGTGGGGACTTTGGACGTGGGTCTGAGGACTGTGGGCTTCGTCTGGCCCTGGAGCGCTTTGAGGGCAAGAGACACACATAACTGCACTTGAGACACAGGAGCCCTTCGTGGGCACCAGCACGCCAGCTGGGAGACGCATGGCCACAGCCAGAAAGCAGGGCCTGGGACTGAGGGGCGGCTCCCCGCCTGGAGCTGAGGGCGCAGGGAGGTGCCCGGGCAAGGGCGGGCGGAGATCTGGGAAGGAGGTGCCTAGGAGGCCTCTGCTGTTGTCTTTGTATTTTCATCCTTGGGATAAACAGTGGTGCCTAGTAATTGGGATAAACAGTGGTGCCTAGTAATTGGGATAAATAGTGGTGCCTAGTAGAGCCCCAACAGGGAGAAGAAGAACTCAGGTGCAGTCTTGCTTTCTGTTCTTAAACAAATTACCCAATTGCCACCATTGTGAGTCAACGTGCCTGCAGCCTGTGGCCTTACAAGCCACCTCGGAGCTGGCGTCTGGGCCTGGCGTGTGCCGGTCAAGAGCACTGTCTGGGGGGAAATAACAGTAATCAAACGGAAGAACCGAGAAGAGCTGGAAAGAGCTGGAAGGAGCCAGGTGCTCCGAGGTTGAGAGGGGTCGGGGGAGTGGCGAGGTCTCTCGGCCGCCCATGGCCCCCGAGGAGGGCCGCGCCCACGTGGACCAGCAGTGGGGCGTGCGGACCGTCCCCAGCGGCCGTCGCGGCTGCGGAGCCGGGGCGTCTTCCTTCTCACCCAGCACCCCGCAGACGTTCCCGCTGCTTTCCGCGGAGTCAACGGCCCTGCCAGGGGCCACCCCCCTCCCCCACGTCCGAGGCTGTACCAGCAGACCCCTCACCCCACCGCCCGCGCAGGGAAGGCTCCTGGACACGCCCCGTTGCAGACCCCAGGCCAGCCCCCTGCCTGCGCTGCGCGCTCCCCTGGGGACCGAGCCGGCGGCTGGTCCTCGGGTCAGCCAGGGTCCGTGGGGTCGGGGAAGGGCCCGCCCCTCTGGTGAGAAACGGCACCCCTGCTGTGCGGTGCCCGCACCCAACGCCCCCCCCCCCCGCCCCTGCGAGGCCGTTTCCCAGGCCCCCTTCCTGCTCCCTCCTCCTAGCGAGGGCCCCGCGGCTCCTCCTCGCCCCAGTCCCCTCCCCTGGGTGCTGGCCCCACGCGGCTCGCCGTGGCCGCTTCCCGGGGACTTGTCCCTCCCCCGCCGCCCGCTGGCCCCGGCGCGCCCCCAGGTTTCTCTAGAACCAGGAAGCTCTGACCCGGGAGTCTGGGAAAAGGAGGAGGGCGGCCCTTCCCCGGCCTCCCCTCGCCTCCCCTCCCCGAGCGGATCTTCCACAACACGCTTCTGGCCTGTGAGCACTACCACCGGGGCTCCGCCGTGTGAACGTTCCCGCACCTGCAGGCTTACTTCCTACGTGGAGACCTAACCGTGTCTTTCCAGAAACGGACAGTTTCTCCCCTCAGAGGCGCTCGGGGCGGCCCCCAAGAAGATGCACACGGCCTCCGCTCCCAGCTCACGTCGCGGGGCTTTGCCTCAGGAGGCGCCCGTTTCCCGCGGGCCGTGCTGCCGTCCTCACGGGGACTCAGGCCGCGGGGTCCCGGCTCACACTTCCATCTGAGCGGCCGCCTAGGGGCTTGCCTGCTGCAGGGACTGCGTCACGGCCACTTTAATCCGGCCTGTCTCGTATTTGGCGAGGGCTTTGGCGCGCAGGTACTCAGCCCTGGAGCACCCTGGGGCGACCGCAGAGCCTTGAGGGCGACCCGGCTCTGACTTTGTGCGTGTGGCTGGCGAGGACCTTCAGAGATGCGTGAGCGTCCACATGAATGGAAGGAAAATTTGTCACCTCTCCCACAGGCACCGTGTCTTTCGGCTTCAGGGAGCAAAGTCAAGCCTTGGGAGGGAGCCGACCCTCAGACCATGCCCCGGGGCTAAGGCGCCCATGAGATGACCGCACAGCCGATGAGGGGTGGGGCCCTGGCTTCCGTCTGCAGTGGAGAGGCTGGCGTGGGTGCCTTGGGGGCCTTGCCCCTTACTCCTGGCCAAGCTCCCGCCTGCGCCCCGGGCCCAGTGAGCGTCCTTGTGGCCAGACCGCAGTGCAGGCTGTGAAGGGGCCACGCCCGGCACCCCGCTGGCCTCCCCACACGGCCGCCCACACCCTGCTCTCCTCGTTGCGCAGGGAGACTTGGCGAAGCCTGACCCCACCACTCTGGAGAGCTGACCAGCAAGAGGCCACGGCGTTTGGGGGGACGTGCGCTGCTCACCACTCACGCAGAAACATTTGATTCACCACCACAGACCAACGGGCTCTAGAAGGAGCCATTACAAAGATGAAGGTCCGGTTCTGGAGTCCAGAGGTGGGAACCGGGAAGAGCTGAGCCGTTTGCACCAAGATGTCCCTGCAGGTGCCACCCACCTTGTTCTAAATGGGAGTTTATTCGCATGGCTCAGAAGGTCACTGTTAGCCTCATACACGTGTGAGTTCTCGTCTGGAAGCAGGGGAGAGGCTTAGCTTGGCCGCGAGGCCTTGCGGGCCCTGCTCGCAGAACAGGGGTCCACTCACCCCATCTACCGGCCCAGCTGCTGGGGCCTCTGGGACACACGTTCAAAGGGGGTGACTCAGAAATGTGCAAAACGAGCTTATGTCTCCCGGTGGACTGCGCTGGGGTGAGGGCTGTGCTGGGGGTGAGGGCTGCGCTGGGGTGAGGGCTGCGCTGGGGTGAGGGCTGTGCTGGGGTGAGGCAGACACGTAGCCACATGCTGGGCACCCCCTCGGGGGACAGGATGGCACGGGGACAGGGCGGAGGGCAGCTTGGCCCCGGGAGGCCGTGCCCGTGTCACCGCCCGGAGGTCGTGAGCCTGAGCACTTACCCAGCCGTGCCAGCCCTGCGGTGCCGAGCTTCTGCCCGCGTCCCCCCAGACTTCAGGCTTCTCTGGTGACTGAGAAGGGTCTGGCCTGACACAGGACACAGCGGAGCCTTCCAGAACACAACCTTCCCCCCCCCCCCCCCCCCCCCCCCCCCTGGCTGAAGTCTCTGGGTGTCTGGGACTTGGGACCTTTAGAAATGGATGGGGACGTCCCTGTGTCTCCCAGGCGGCCCTGACGGAAGCGCGAGGGCGGCGGCTCCCTGCCTCCCTGCGCTGCCCTTCCTCCCTCCCTGCACCTGGTCCCCGGAGCTCAGGCAGGTGGCGGCTTCTGCAGGTGTTTCCTATTCCCGGGGAGGAAAAGAGCCCTCCGCTCGTTTCCGCCCTCGTCTTCCCGCCGACCTGTCACCTCGTCGTCTGCCCGTCCCCGCAGACGCCTGGTGTCCAGGGGACCCGAGCTTCAGGGTAGGGCTGCCTTCCACCTCCTCACGCCCCGGGAGACGCCTTGTCCGCGGCCTCCCACATCAGAGCGGCGGATGCACGTCTGTGGGAGAGACGATGTGGGGACATCAACCCTCCGGGAAAATAAAGTCGGGGGCGGCTGGTGCCTTCAGTTCGGGCTGTTTTCAGATTCATGGATGTTTCTGTTTTGCATTATTTTTCCTTTTAAAAGTCAGTTTGGCATGTAATCAAAAAAGGACATTTGACACTTACACGTCAATGTGTCCCAAGGCTTCGCGAGACGTCGGGGCTGGGACGGAGGAAAGTCCCCTGGCGGGTTTGGACGGTGCGTCCGGGCCCCTCACAGCCCGCTGACAGCCCTGAGTGACTGCTTTTCAAAGTTTATTTGTTTGTTTTGAGAGACACAGAGACAGTGCGAGCCTGGAGCGGCAGAGAGCCAGGGGAGAATCCCAAGCAGCATCCGCGCTGCCAGCACCGAGCCCGATGTGGGGCGCGAACTCACGGACCATGAGACCGTGACCTGAACCGAAATCGAGCGTCAAATGCTCAAGCAGGCTCCCCCCTCCCCCCCCGATCGATTTCAGAACGTCCGTCTGTGCACTTCGAAGTGTCTGCTCACAGCTGTGGTTTTCTACTCTCCGCGGCAGGAAGTGACTCCTGCCCGAACCCGCAGGTGAGCCTGCCGTGTGATGGCCTGGCTCCGCGGCTCATGGCAGCGGGAGGCCACGCCTGGTAGGGGACGCGGCTCTGGGGAGTGGACGCGGCTCCGGGCTGGATTCGGTCAGGACGCTGGGCGGGTCTGTGGCGGCGTGTCTGACACATCACATCCCGCAGGTGGGGAGGACATCACAGGTCTGGGGAGGAGCCCGGGGAAGGGCGCTGTCTGGGGACACACTCAGGCCTGTCTGCTCACACGAGGCACGGAGTGGGCTCCTCCGAGGATGGCGCTGGACAGACTGGGGACTTGCTGTGGGGCAGGTGGGGGAACGCCCTTCCTTCTCAGAGCACCCCCTGGGTGTGGGGGGAACCCCCAAAGCTGGAAGGGGCCACTTGGCCCTGCTCAGAGGCCGCCCTGCTGGTGGGAGCTGGCCCCCT